CTTTGTTCTGTTCAGGCGCACAGCCGCGTAAGCAATTGGAGAGCTTGGTCCTCCCAACCTGTGCCAGCAAGCAGAGGCTCCCGACCTCCCAGCCAAGCTGATACAGAAAGGTGCAGCCCTGCCCCCTCTGCTGCCTGCTGTCTCAGTGCACCCTCACTCCCCTCCCCGGGACGTACCAGACCTTGGGGCTGGATGGCCAGTGGTCAGCGCCGGCCTCTATGGTGGTGCACCTCTGCCCACCCCACCATCCTGCTGCTCACAGGGTGGATGGTGCACTTCCCATGCCCAGCAGCTGCTCTCGGGCCCTAGGGATGGTAGCTGGGAAACACAGTGAGTGGTTTCCCTACCTGTGGGGGCTCCCTCCCAGCTCTAGTATTTGAAGAAGCCCAGGAAGGAACCTTTTCCACCTGCAGGGACACTACCCGCTTCTCCCCAGCCCCCGGGTTCCTAAGGTCATTGAGAAATACTTACTGTTAGATCAGGGCTTTCTTCTTCCACACTGTAGGTGACCCCTTGGAATAGTGGCCTCTCCTCTCTTTTGCACATACCTACCGGTTCCCACAACTGGATTTCTACAGATCATTCAGCTGGTTTTAAGGGTTTTGTTTCAACTGTCCAAGTTATCGGTGTCATTTTGTTTTTGTCTTATGTAGGTGGTTTTCCTTTAAGCAGAGAGAAAACACTAACAGTATAGTGCCCACCCTAGCAATGCTTCAGAAACACTTCAATAAAGGAAGGTTATGCGTGTGTGCTGGTGCAGTCATTTAACTGGACCAACCCACTCACCGTGACTCTACCAAGGCATCATGTATCCACAGTTCTAGCCTCATTTTATGCTGATTTTCCCCCCTCTTCTTGATTTTTCTCTTTTGTATGCTCCAAATAATATAATCAAGCTAGTTGTGGCATTTTCCACGCAACCTCCTTCTGACAGTTCACACTGCTTGAAGTCACGTGAACCACTGAGGCACATCACGGAACTGATGTGAGCATTGAGACTTTCGCACACCGCCCTTCCCCGAGGGAGGCTGCAGGAGCTGGTGTCTTCTGGAGAGATTGCTGAACTCGAGCTGTAGGAGGCCTCCACTAAGGGATGTCGTGGCGTTGGGCACGCAGTTGGAATGAGCGTCCTCGTTGGCAGATGGAAGACTGTCTCTGGGGCCATCGCTGGCTGCTTCTTCCAGCCTGTTTCTTAGGACTCGGGATGGCATTTCAATGGTGGGAAAAGCGGCTTCATCAAATAGAAAAGTAGTTACTGTGAAACTACCCAGTGGCAGAATGCTTGGTGTGAACTGGTGAGTTCTGGTTGGGATAACAGATTGACAAGCCATACACGTTGCCAAATTCTAAGCCAGTCTGATCCACGGAAGCGGCCTTCTCAGCAGCCCACCTCTACGGCAGTGGCCGTTCCTAGTGCAGGTGGCTGTAGTGGCAATGTCACACTGAGCTCAGGTGGGTGAGACAGCTAGGATGTTCATCCGAGGTCCTCAACTGTCACTGTGGGGTCCTCCCAGGATGGCCGGGCTGTGTGAAAGGCAACCCCTTTCCAAAACATAGGCACCGTCCGGTTGACAGTAACACTCCATGGTATGCCTTGGCCCATTCCAACAGTCCCAGTAGCGCACTTAAGGTTTGGGGCTTGTTCCTTTGTTCATGTTACTTTCGTGTTTGTCAGCTGCCTTTTCTTTTCCTGGGCTAAGCAGCATTGGGAGACGAGGACCAGAGATCCACTCCTTAAGAACCAGTAATGAAAGTCAAAACTTCCTTACTCCACTCTGAACTAGTTGGTGGTACAAATGAGAACTTCAAGAGAGGATGTTGTTTAGATTGAACCTCTGTTGCCAGAGATGCTGAAGATACAGACCCTGGACAGGCCCCAGGGTTTCATTTTTGGCCTCCAGCTTGGATGACTAGTGGGTCCATTAGAGAAACAAACGCTCCTTGATGGTGGAATGACCAGGCAGAAGTAAACCATTGCTCGCAGGGATCAGGACGTGGAGAGACGAAACACAGGCAGACAGGTACAGGGCTTGGAAGAAGCAGGGGCCATGTTTTGAACTTGATGGTTTCTGAAGGAATCAGACCACATCAAGGGCTCACAGTCATCCAGGGGCATTTGGTTTCAACAAATAAACCTAACATCCTGCTCTGCAAACTTATCACGAAGTTAAGTAACATTGTATAAGAATATGAACTTCATCGCACTCGCCAGTTGTTCTGGGGCATGACTTTAGGATTTTGTTTTATTTTGTTTCTATAAGAACATAATCACTCATTTGTATGTCCATGTTTCTGTGTCTGCATCTTTCTGGTAAGCATTTTTTTAAAAAAATTAGTCACTCATTAGCGTTTCCAATAGGGCTCTTAAGTCCAGTAGATTACGGGTAGTCAGTTGACGAAGATCTGGTTTACAAGAACTAATTAAATGTTTCATTGCATTTTTGTAAGAACATAGAATAATTTTATAAAATATTTGTAGTTGATAATTGCCGAAAATAATTTAAAGACACTTTTTTTCTCTATGTGTGCAAATGTGTGTTTGTGATCCATTTTTTTTAGGACACCTGTTTGCTAGCTAGCTTTACAATATGCCAAAAAAGAAAAAAAAAAAAAAAAAGTTTTTTTTTTTCCAGGCCCGGGCCGTTGTTCACCCTCTTTTCCCCCCATGCTTTGTGCCCTCGTTTATAACAAAGGAATGATGATTTAAAAAATAGTTCTGTATCTTCAGTATCTTGGTCTTCTAGAACCCTCTGGTTGGGAAGGGGATCTTCTTTTCCTGGTCATTTCCCCTTGCAGTGTAGCAACTTTTAACAGATGGAGAGAACCTCGCTGGCCATGGAAAGAGCAGAGGTGTTCTGCCCAGCGGTGAACCACACTGCTCAGCATCTGGATTGGCTGACTTGGTTATTGTCATGGTCCTGCAATGCCGTAGAGGTGAAAGGACTTCTGAGCACAGCAAATGGTTTTCACAGTGACCACACAAAGACTTGTGAGGCATATGTACCATCTGCTCCTATGCCTCATTTCATGTCAAATGCTTTGTCCTAACAGGGAAGAGACATGTATTTTTATCTAAGGCAGAACACTGAAGGTACATCTCTTTTCAATACAGAATAAATTCTTTGATAAAAACCACAACACACCCCACCCTGAAATTTTTAATTTTGAATCCATGTCCTCTAGTTCCCAATGCATTATCGGCCATGTCTACACAACTCCACAAAATCCCTGTTACTGGAAACATCTGGAAATTTTGCACTCCAAAGGAGAAAGGTCCAGAAACCATCTGGTATTTTTGTTGTTGTTTTCAACTTCTTATTTGGTTGGTTGCCGCTGTGTTCACACATCCACAGGTGGAACAGATGCCTGGCGAAAACACCTGTCTGCTTTCTAAGCCAGTGAGGTTAAGGTGAGAGGTTTTCCAGAGTTTGTCTACCTCTGGGATTAAAAAAAAAAAAAATCAAACTAGAAGGCGCGATGGAATGGACGCATCGCGAATAATACATTTTCTGAGTTCTCTTGTTTAAAAAGTTTTTTTTTAAGTAAAATAAAAAAAAAGATAACATGGCCAATTTGTTACATAAAATGACCTTGTGTATAAATTATTCCTAAAAAATCCTCTGTTTATATAAAAAAATCAGTAGATAAAAAAAAATTTCAAAACGTTTTTGTATATTCTGTTGTAAGAATTTATTCCTGTTACTGCGATATACTCTGGATTCTTTACTTATGAGAAATAAACTGTCTATTTTGAATGGCTGAAGCTAAGGTGACTTTAGTTTCTCTTACTCTGCTTTTTCTAGTAGTTAAAGTACTACATGATTTAAGTTAAATAAAAGAATTCTGTATGCACTTTTTGTCTCCCAATTTTCTTCCTTCCCTTTCTGGAACCATCACTACATTTCTGCAGCATGGCAGCCGAGCTCTGTGTGACATGTGTGTTCACACGTGTCACTTGGAAGCGTACTGCGTGAAAGTACTGCCTTGTCTCTGGCAGCGAGCGCTCTGCATGCTCCTGAAACCAGAGAAGCTACTCTTTCTCATTCTGTGAAGTCAGCTGGAAGAAAATCTGAATCCATAAAATACAGAAATTTGTACTTCATTTTTAACTGATACGTAAGCGTCTACTTTCCTACATCTTCTGCTGACAAAAGTCAGCCCAAGGCAGGTTTGAGCTGTCTGACCCTGGGGTAGAGTACTGAAATGCTCCTCTCCCCATGTTCCTGTGGGTAACCCAACTTGGAGGGTGCCCATGAGACCCCAAAAGTCCCACACAGGACGTGGCTTGCTGTGGGCACTCCAAGACTTGGTGGTCTCTTTTTCCCTGGTGATTAGTGAGCCCTGCCTGCCCCCAGGGACTCTACAATCTAAACATCATCATCTTTGTCTTGTGGGGAGAGGGGATCGTTGCGGGAAAAGGAAACAGGCTGTAAAGGTCTTAGAATCAGACCTAATATGCATAAACGCACCTGAGTGACAAGCAGGTCATCTCAAACTTAGATCATGAAAAATTAAACTCCAGCAATGAAATCAGGCAATTACAGGAAGAACTAAGTAGCAAGTTGTATGCAGTAGAAATAAATCGAAGGCCATAGTTACCCAAGACCTGATGAGTTTCAGGTAGAGACTGTAAAAGCAGAAAGCATTTAAAAAGCTCCAAGAGACTGTACTCTGTGAAGCTCGGTGCTGGCCTGCAGGTCCTGCTCACCATGGTCACCCAGAGCCTGACAGTTGGGGGACCCCCACTAGGTTAGCAAAGGAGGTCTCATTTCCTAGTTTAGGCTGTCCAACAGGCTAATGCTGCATGTCCAGGTTGTCACAAGTCTGAAGCCGGAACACCAGTTTCTTAGGATGAAGGCAGTAGGTCCTTAGAAGCTAGAACCTCTGCTCTGTGCTACTTCTTAAGAGTACTAAGGGAAGCTGTTTGTGTTTACCACCACAGGTCCACTTGTGTGTTCGTCTCTTGCATTACTATAACAAAATACTCAAGGCAGGCTAACTTCGCAAAGAAAAGAGGTTTATTTGGTTTACAGTTCTGGAGGCTTATGGGCATGATGTGGGCATCAGCTTGGCTCTGGGGAAGACCTCATGGCCAATGACAGGAACTCATGCGGGAAGAAGACATCACATCTCAAGGGGAATCCAGAGAGCAGTTCAGGTCAGGGCTCCACTCACTCTTAACAACAACTCCGTATAAGAGTTCAGCGATCCCAAAGAAATTCCTTAACCTCTTCTGAGGGCAACTACCCCAATGACCTAAAGACCTCCTACTAGGCTCCACACTGGAAACCAAGCTCCTAACACATGAACCCTTAGGAGACCCACTATAACCATAGCAAGCTATGAGGCCACACTCAGCTGTGTATTTTAGTAGTGTTCTATTGTCAGTGAAGGCCTTCTACATCCACTGTCTTCACTGAACTTTCATAAGCACCCTGAAATGGCAAGCTTTTTTATTGCTCTGTTTTATAGAGGCACACACGGACAGACCCCAAACGCCCTGGCAATAATATGAAGCAACCATACCAGGGCTCAGCCATTTATACTACACAGTTTTCAAATAAACTCAGAAGTCTCCTGTAGCAACCATAGCTGAACAGGCCCTGCTGCAAATGAGTGGGGGATCTGGGTCATTCACAGAGACCAGGATATGAAGGCACCTTTGGGGTTTTCCATGGACAACTTTAGAGGCCACAGAGCAGGAAATGGTGAGAAAGTTCATCACAAGAGAGCTCTGGCCTCCTAATTTTTTTCAATATGTACGTATGACATTGAGCAATTTGCAATAATACCAGAGGCCTGTCCTGGAGGTCCCTGGCTTGCCAGTGTCCTCAAACAGGAGAAAGAATAAAGAAGTAAAGAGCTCTAGGTGGCGGCTACTTGCCCTGGAGTACAGAAGTATCTCCACATTAACCACCATGCTGCTGGACCCCAGCACCGTCTTACGCCACCTCTAGGCTTTGACTTACTTCTGGCGTATGTCAAACAATCCAGGTGTATTTACAAAGGGGGGGCTTGTAAAGTCTATTCTGCATAGACAAATCTGCTCAAAGGCTAGTGGCAAAATGAGCAAAGCCTGTCGAGTGCCTTTGTTATTAGTTTACAGATGCCTCTTCCTATAGTACATGAATCCAGGCACTAGGAGACTAATTTATTTCTCTAGTATAACCAAGTAAAAAAAATAGTAGTTATAAGCAGACCAACATAACAGAAAATGTACTAAACCTTAACTACTTCCACACTATTACTAATAAAAAAAGTTACAAATGGGGTTTTGCATGAAAATTGTGCCCCCAGAAGACACTGGACAAGCAGAGCGTTGCTGTGAGCAGCTTGGCACAAGACCCAGTACAGCGTCATAAAGTCAAAACAAAGGAGCTTCTGATTTTTAACAGTTAAGGAAAATACTTATTATGGAGAGAACCTAAGCCCAGCTCCAAAGCTTGCTTTAAGAGCAAACACTGGTGAGAATATAAAACATTACAGTCACTGTGAAAACCAGCGTGGCAGTTCCTCAAAGCATTAAACACAGAATCCTCATGTGCTCCAGCAATTTATTCTGGGTGTATACACAAAAGAGCTGAAATCAGGGACCGGAACACGTATCTGGAGGCCAATTTTCATAGCAGTATTTTTAGCCATAGCCAAAAGGTGGAAGCCACTCAAGTGTCCATCCATAGGTGAATGGAAAAGCCGAGTGTGGTAGGGACGTGCAATGGTGTGTTATTTAGCCTTTACAAATAATGAAATCATGCCATCTGTGACAATGCTGATGAAACTTGAGAACATTATAACAAATGAAATAAAAGACAAAATGACAAATGCTTGTTTTAGGTACCTAACTGAGCTCGTAGAGATGGAGGGAATAATGGTGGTTGCTAAAGGTTGGGAAGAGAAGGGATAGGTAGTTCTTGGATACTGAGTAAAGTTTTGATTTAGGATGGTGAGAAAGACATAGAGATGGACGGTGGTGATGACTGCACAATGCTGGTGTGCTGACTGTCACTAAACCGGGCACTTCAAAATTGTTAAAATGAGTACCAGAAAAGACAGGGAGAAATGTTAGACCTAGAGCAGTAGCTGCACCTGCACGTCCATGGACTTGTGGTCCTCAAGCCTGGGCAGGATCTCACAGCCCCGCTGCACAGTCATTTAGAAGAAAAAAAAATTACTAGGATTTCATTTTATTGTCATGAAAACTATAACCGAAGCTAGTTAATCCCTTGTGGAACATCTGCCTTTTAGAGAGTTCTTTCTTCTGACAATAAAATAACTCTGTGATTTTGTTGGGCTAATTCAAAATTTTTCCCTCTGTGTAAACTGTTTTACAAGCGATTTTTAAAAGCCTCTCAAGGCATAATTGAACTCTACACATAGGACTGAGCATTTAGTTTTCTCTAAAGGAGACATTTTCCAACTGGTTCCCTTTGGGTGGAATCGGTGCGGTTCAGTTCTCTGCAATCCTGGCTGTGAGCTTGGGCTTTCCCGCTCGCTTCCAGCATTTCCTGGATGATGACTTGCAAGGCTTTTCCCAGCAGGCTGGCTGGGAACCCCCGTGAGAGTGGAGGGACGTGGATGAGTGCCGCATGCCCATTTCCATGATGCAGAGACAGGTAGTAGGTATAATCGCAGATGTACCTGCATCCCCACGAAATGCTACATTACTTCTCAGACCACCCTCAACCCTCTGTGAACCATAAGCACACAATGCCATGCACCATCTACAAAGCATGAGGAGGGAGGACCGCCACTCCGAGAGATGTAAGCTTGCTTCTGCTGCCTCACAAAGAACATGGGGCAGGAATGACATGAACAAGGTCTGACTCTTCGTCTCACGGTTTCATGACCAGCAAGTGGCCAATAGAGAAAAGGACCAGGCTTTCAATTATTTAATCCGTATCACCTTTACCCCAGTAAATCTCTCCCTCATTCACATCTTCATTGAGTCATTTGTTCATTCATCCCTTGGAGAGAAGAAAATGCCTCCACGGGGCTGAGAGTTGGGAGGAGCATAGGTATGTAAGTATTCATCTGGGACTACAACCACACAATTAACTCACAACATCAAAACAAAATTACCAAAACACCCACAAAGTGTTCCTGGCTCTCAAAATCCCCATCTCTTCTGCAACATCTCTTCTATAGCAGTGGTCCAAATGCAATGTTAGGAAGAGAGGGGTCCCTCAAGCCTCATCCTAATGGGAACAACTGTTTAGCAAAGAAGGGTGACTTGGTGGGTGGCTCCTGGCCAAGCAACCGGCTAGATGGTAGGGGATGGTTTCCTCAGAGGAGAGAGGGAACTTGAAGGGCACTTCCTCTCCCCTATTTGGTTGGTGCCCCTGTACCTGCAAAACCTACCTGCCCGCATCTCCAGAAAAGGTCACCTCAACATCCTCAATGGCAATGTGTTTGCAGACTGCCTTCATGTTGACCCTTGACACGATCACATCCCGGCCACCTGGCAGGCACACGCCTTCCTCAGGCTGGAAGCCCCGGATGTCTCTGTCTCGGTAGCCACGGTTCTTGCCACACTGTTCTAGAAAAATTGCCTTGGCCGAAGTGTCCACACCCACATGCACAGCAAGCTGTATGAACAAAGGCAATAGCAGAGAGATCACAGGAAACTGGGTTGTCAAGGATACAGAAAGACCAAGCCCTGGGAAAGCATCTCAACCCCCCAAATCTACCATGAAACCCCAGGATTCCCTGTCTGCATCCCCTGATTAATATGGTTGGAATGAAAAACTGGGCTCTTTCAACTAAATAAGAACCATATTGCATTTATATTTCAATATTCTTATATTTCAAAATATTTTTACAAGATAGTGTATTCTATTTTAGGGGGGAGAATGCAAAATTTGCATCTAAGACTGCCACAGAAGTTTAGTGTTTCTCAAAGTCATCCATCTTTTTAATGAAACTTTAATGAGGGAAGTTAGTAACAAATACAATTTTGATAGTATGTATTTGAGTTGACTACATTTTTCTTTTTCAAAACTAGCTATTGAGAATTTTATCAAAGCATTTGGAACACAGTCTTAAGGTCTCGGTGGTATATGCTTTATTAATCTCATCATATGGTCCAAGGAGCAGTATTTGTACCTGTTTTTAATGTAGTAAGTGTGTGCAGATAACATAGGCTGTGTCTTGGTTACTTTTTTCTCATTGCTAAAACAAAATACCCAATGCCCCAAATTAAGGCAGGAAAGGTTTATTTAGCTCACAGTTTGTGGAGGTTTCAGTCCATAATCATCTGGCTCCAAGGCAGGGTGGTGTGGCAGAGAAGCAACAGTCCATGGCAGCAGAAAATACCAAAAGCAACAAGTGCAAAAGACGGGGGAAGTAAGACTCTTTCCCTCCTTTATATTGTATACAGGCTACCTGCACTAGGGTAGGTGTAGCACTCACACCCCCAGTCCCAGCACTAGACAATGAACCAATCACAAACTCTAGATTCAGTTACCTTAAAAGCCTGCCCTGAAAGACTGCATGAGGCTTTGGGGGGACATCCAGACATAAACCATAATAGTCTACTCCTGGCCTCTCAAAGACTCATGTGCATCCCTTTATGCCAAAGGATATTTAGTCCATCTCTAAGAGTTGCTAAAGTCCTAACAGTTTCAGCACTGGTGAAAAAATTCACGTCCCAACTCTCCCCAGAGATATAAGGTAAACTCTTAGCTATGAACCCCTGTACAAATGAAAAGTTAAACACTTTCAGTATTCAATGGCACAAGATAAACATTTCTATTCCAGAAGTTACAGATAGGGGGATACAAAGGAGTGGGACCAAAGGAAGTGCAAAATCCAGCAGGGAGAATATTAAGTCCTGTACTTCCATGTGCAGCACCTGATGCAACCTGTGACAAGTTAGGAATTCCAAAGCTCTTGGGTGGCTCCGCCCCTACAGTACTTCCAGTAATTGTAGCTTCCTTGGCTTTTCTCTTAGGCCCACTTTGCTCCCTCCTTGCAGCTTTCCTTAGACAATTCAATTCTTGGCTTGTCCAAACTTCTGGGGTCTCCATTGCACCTTTGGTACCTCACACCCTGCCCTTGCAGGGTCACACTGCCTGGCCTCGGAGGCTGTCTGAAATTAGGGTGAAACCTTTTTAACCCCACAATTCTTGCATTCCACATGACCCTAAAACCAATGCCATGTGGATGATACCAAGGTCTGCTGCCAGGTGGAGCAGTAGCCAGGCTTCCCCTTTTGTTGCTTGTAGGGGATGAGTGCCTGGATCACTGATCACTCTGAATCCAATTCTGAGAAACAAATTTGCTAGTCCTCCACTATTCTGAAGCAAGATGCAGCCAGCACCATTCTGGAACAAGGTACTCCTCTGCTTTCTTCTCAAAGCAAAGTCTCACTTTTTCAATTTTGAAGTTGCAAAGGGTGGAGTCTTGCTGCTTCTTGTGATGCCCTCAGGCCATCTTTTCTATTCTCCTTTTCTTCCTCAGCAACTAAAATCTCCTCAGCTCTATATGGGCAATTCACAGTTTTCCTGGGGCTTGCTTTGTGGCCAAACTCAAAATATTTTAAATCATTCTGCTGGGCTCTTTGCTCTTGATTCTCAAGATAGATCTAGCTAAAAGCCACCAACAGTAGTCATGCCATTGACTGCCTCAGTATTCAACTGCCTTAAATTTCTTCTACTAGCTTAAGTAGTCTGTTGCTCTTAACCTCAGTCACAGGTAAAGTCTCTGGACACAAGCAAAATGCAGAAAAACTTCCTGCTAATCCATAACACACATTGTCTGGAGTCCAACAGCCAATGCAGCCTTTTTCCAGTGGAAACCTCCTAAGCCTGGTTTACCAGCAGGATTTCTATCAGGATTCTGGTCTTCTGAGCTCTGACCAGAATCTCCCGTACAGAGGAGCTCAAGGCATAACAGATTTACTCTTCCAGGCCACACCTCCAAAACTTTCCAAACTCTTCCCACAAGCCATTCCCAAAGGCTCTTGAACCATATGGTTAGTTTTAGTCACAACAATGACCCCACTCTTGGTACCAAATTCTGTCTTGGTTACATTTCTCATTGCGGAAACAAAATACCCAACTTTCAAAATTAAGGGAGGAAAGGTTCATTTACCTCACAGTTTGTGGAGGTTTCAGTCCATAATTAGCTGGCTTCATGGTAGGGTGGCATGGCAGAGGGGCAACCATTCATGGTGGTGGAAGACACCAAAAGCAACAAAAGAAAAAGGGGGAGAGAAAAAGCAAGCCTCTTTCCATCCTTTGTATTGTATGCAGGCTACCTGACCTAGGGCAAGTGTAGTACTCACACCCATAATCCCTGCACTGGGCCAAGAATCAATCACAAACTCTAGAAGCTGGCTTCCATGACTGAATGAGGCTTTGAGTGGACACCTAGACACAAACCATAACAAGTTGGGTGTTCTGAAGATGGAGCCTCCCTGGGTGCACCACCGTTCCAACAACTCTCCCAGCTCGGGAGGTCTATGCCTCATTTCAACCAACCAGCCTCAGTAGGTATGTGTGGAACATAATGTAGGTCCTCTCCCTTAGGTAGATATTATCTTTGGGTGTTGCCTGGGAATGTTTCCACTTCCTTTCTACACCTTCTCTCTCTCTCTCTCTCCAGATTTTCTTTCAAGCTTTGTCCTACATTTCAGCTTAGACTTTTACAGACAGATGCAGAAACCTAGCTACAACTTTGCACTGGTGGGACACGAGAGTGAGGTGAACTTCAACTCTCAGCCCTAGAGCCAGAGTCCTGGATGTTTTCAGGCTCTAGGCTCCATCATATATCACCAGTCTCCGACCCCAGTGCCTCACTGGCCAGCACTTACTTGTGGTTGAAATTCTTCCCAGATTCTGGTGACCCTCTGCTTCACCTCTCTGTAATCTACAGGCAGCTGGAGAGTCCGCAGCTCCACCTCCATGTTAGTCTCCAGGCCCAACTTGGAGAGCTCCTGCAGAAAGAGCATGTTATGATAACCCACAAAGGTGAATCCCTTAAATCCCAATCTTGGGCTTTGCCCTCAGCTCTTTTGTGGTCCTATATCCTGTCCCTCCTCCCCCAGAACTCATACCATGGAAGAACTAGGCACAGGAGTCAGTGAGTCAGAGCTGCCTTGTAAGACGATGGAAGCAGTTAGTTAGGAAGATCATGGGGTTGATAACAATGTCAAAAAGCCAACAAGAGAGCATGGTTCCTGACCCAAGAGGGAAATGCCCCCTACAGCTGCTCCTGTCAAGGGAAATGCCTTAAAGGGCCATAGCTGTGTCAATCATGTGCCAGAGGTAAGTTCTATGGACAGACGGATGAGACAGATGGAGAAGCTGGGGACAGAGTAGACTTTAAAGACAGATGGGACTGCAAGAGCTGGAGACTTTTGGGAAATTGGATGTGATATGATTCTTTCAGAAAGGCTGAGGGATTTGTTCATTTGTTCTGTTTATCACAAGGCAAAATATCCAGCACCATGGACTCTGATCTGAGCAGGAAGCATTTATAGTGTCCCTAGGTATTTGAGGACTAATCTACCACCACCATCCATGGTGTAAGAGGGAGAGGAAGAAAGGAACTAAAGCTAAGGAAGCCAGGTTGAATGCTTAGCCAGGTTTGGACTTATCCTGAGGGCAATAGGGAGCCATGAAAGGACTGAACAGGAGAGAGTGAGTCAGAGCTGCCTTGTAAGAAGATGGAAGGGGAAGTGGCAATGAGCTAGGGGGATCATGGGGTTGATTTAGGACCTTCCAAGTTTGAAGTTCCCAGAGAGAGCTGGTCCCTTGACCACATGTGTCTGGAGCTCATAGAGAGGCCTCTGACCAGACATCAGTGTATCAGAGGCAGAAAAAGACATGGTTCAGATGAGGTCCACAGAGAGAAGGTGAAGCAGTGAGAGGAATGAAGAGCTGTGGAGAATGCCTGAGGTAGGAGCACCTTCCTGCCCTGAAGGGCACCAGAAACAGCAAGCTTTTTGGAAGAAAACCAAGAGAATGACATGTTAGAAGTATGCATTTCATTCTTGATGAAAGTCCTACCAGGAACATAAAGCTTCCCCTAAAGGCCCAACATATCAAGATGGTCTTCATTTAATGATTTCATTTGTGCTCTCTTACACTACTGGTGAGGCAGGACCGCCAGAACTGTGTGTCCTCAGATGGAAGGTGCCCTGAGGAGGGCCTGCTCAAAGACCCCAGCCAGGAGATCTAGATCCGCCCTAGGCTTTAGTGGTAACCTGAGCAGATGTAGAACTCCTGAGTTGTTCTTATCCTGGGATAAAGGTTTCTCCTGACCCATTTTTGGCATCTCAGCTCTGTCCCTGACCGGCTCAGCCTTCCTGAGGGGCTCTTCTCCATTCTCCAGATATCTGCTTGACTCCCTCAACTGCTCAAGCTTTGTTCTCTTCCTAAACACCAAAATGAACATCACCACTTGACTTGAGTGGGAAACCATTTGCCTGACTGATGGTGGGAGACGGGAAGGATGTGAGAGGGACAGGAAGTCACATAAGGCACAAGGCTGGAGGACCATACAGAAGGGAGTCCTGCAGACCAAGGGTACCCTAGACATGCCAAATTTCCAGTCCTGCAATACCAACATGGCCTCCTCTCCTGAGCACCACATAAAGCCTGGAACTGAGATTGCACAGTTCAGGGAGTTGGGGCTGGAAGCCATGATGCTGGAAGTACCATGTGGCTCCACTGTGCAGGTGAGGAGGCCTTGGCTGGTCGCAGGGCTGCTTCTCAGACTCCAACCCCCCATGAAGAACTAGTTTCTCCTACTTGGTGGCGATCCCTTGGGGTCTTTGGCCTTCTCTGAGTAAAGACTGCACTGATACCCTGGATCCAGAGTTGTCTGGGAATCTGCTGTTCCCTGAAGGCCACCCTAGCTCAGCTGTCAATGGAATTCCCAATTAATGATGTTCAGTAAGCCCACAAAACAGTGTCACTCACAGGATGGAGAGAGCCACCCTGAGCCATGTGTCTGCTCTGTCCCTGAGTCTCACTGGCCCACGTAATTGCCTGGGAGCTCTTTTCGACAGAAGAATGCAGCTGTGCTTCTGGTGAGAGCATGTGCCAAGCTGAGAGTGAGGTAGGCACCCATCACCAGCCTTTTCTTTCCACCCCATCTCCAAGCCTTTGAGAGGAGGAGAAAGATACATCTTTGGACACCTTTGAGATTCTCCTGATGCTGCTGGCTATGGGAGCTGGATTTGGGGAGCTCCTCCATGTTAGTCTCCCAGGGCTGTCATGGCAATGCACTCCACACAGGGTGGCTTAGGACAACAGAAATTTATTGTCTTATGGTTCAGGAGGTTATAAGTCCAAAGTCAAGTTGTCAGTGGGGCTGTGCTCCCTCTGAAACCCATAGAAGGATCTTCCTTGCCTTTTCCAGAATCTGGTAGCTCCAGATGTTCCTTGGCTTGTAGTGGCATCACTCCAGCCTTCACACGGCATTTACCCTGTGTCTCTTTATACCACCTTCCCTTGTCTGTCTGTCTCTGTGTCCCACTTTCCCCTTTCTACCAGTTACATTGGATGAAGGCCTAGCATCATGACTTCATTTAACTTGATTGTATCTATAAGCCCATCTTTCCAATGAAGGTCACAGGCCCTGAGGATTAGACTTCAACATCTCCTAGGAGGACAAGGTTGAGCCCATAGCAGCTTCTTGGTTTGTACTTTCCTGAAGGCTGACAGCATCTGTCTTGCAAAAGTAGAAACTGCAGGGAAGCCACTGTGTAGACCTTGCTGGCATATATGGAGCCAGTATGGACTGAAGGGCACTTCAGAACAAAGACGTGAGAAGTGTATTTTACCATTCTGAGAATAGTGCCTAAGGGGCACAAGGGCCCTGCTTGTGCTTGCAATGTGTCTCCTGTGTGTGCCTGGTGTGGGGCTGCCCTCCTAACCACTGATGTTTCAATCCCTAAAATTCAAAAGGGCATGGTAGCTGGAATAAATACAGATGTCACACATTGCCCACATCAGCTCAGATCACCTTTTGCCACTGGACAACTTGGGAAACATGTCTAACATTTACAGAGTAGAAGAATTGGGTATGCAAGTTGCAGAGAAGGGGTTATGGACCAGTGTAAACTCAAACCTGTTCACATATCACATATTGGAATTATTCTTAACAATCTTCCTGGCATATTTTCTCAACTTAGCTAGAATGTCTTCCTCCTTACCTCCACAACTGTCTTGATGAAGGGACAAATTGCAACTTGTTACTGCAAAGATGGGGACACACTGTCGCCCTGAATTCTACTAAGGTAAGCCACCCTCCCCAAGAGGAAGTCACCATTGCTGCCCATGCTGTGGATCTGGACATCTCTACCCTTGGTAGATTTCCATGGAGCCCTCCAAGTAGGGGGAGGAACACTGTAGCCATCAAGCCTTTGCCATAGAGGACAGAGAACATTATCTTCATGGCAATCAGAGGCTGCAGCAGGCTAGGAATAGGAAAGCAACTATCCCTTCACTAGTGCAGACCTGGCCAAGCTACTTGGATGGCCCTGGGAAGTCTGCAGCCATCCTCAGGCCACCAGAAAGAGCCATTGGCTATAGCAAGGTTGAGGATGCTATGGCCTGAATTGTATCCCCCAGATTCATATGCTGAAGTCTGTCTTAGTTACTTTTCTCTGGTGGCTGAGACAAAATGCTCTACACCCAAAGTTAAAGGGAGGAAGGTTTATTTAGCTCACAGTTTGTAGAGGTTTCAGTCTATAATTGGCTGGGCCTAAGGCAGGGTGGCATGGCAGAGGGGCATCCCAGAGGAGAAACAATTCATGGTGGCAGAAAACAGCAAAAGCAACAACTGAGGAGAGAGAGACAGACATACAGAGAGAGAGAGAGAGAGAGAGAGAGAGAGAGCGAGAGCGAGCAAACCTGTCTTTCTCCCTTACATTGAATGCAGTGTACCTGCCCTAGGGCGGTTATAGCACTCACACCCCCAAACCCAGCACTAGACAATGAACCAACTACAAACTCTAGATTCAGCTGCCTCTGAAAAGTGGCTGAATCTTTTCTCCTGGCCCCCATGACCACATGAGGCTTTGGGGGGACATGCAGACACAAACCATAACAAAGCCTTAACCCCTAATGAGTTGGGATTCGAACATGGGTCCTTTGGGAAGCAATGAAGTTAAATCATGAGGATGGGTCTCCATGATGGACTGGTGTCCTTATAAGAAGAGGCAAGACCAGAGCCTTTCTCTCTCTTAGCAGGTGAGGTACAGCATGACGGCAGGCACCAGACAGAGAGCCCTCATCAAGATGCAGTTCTGCCAGCACTTTGATTTGGCCTTCTAGCCTTCAAAACTACAAGGAATTGATATCTGTTGTGTAAGCCATTCTGCCTGTGGAATTCTGGTATAGCAGCCCCAGCAGTCTGAGGCGGGGTTTTCAGAGGGTCTTGAGATGAGTTCTGGCCAGGTTTCAGAAATGTGCCAGCTCAGCCAACATGCACACCATTCAGCCTTAGTGGACCACAGCCAGTCTGGTTTGGTTTGGGAGATTAAGGAACTTTTCTTAACTCCATACCACCTTCATATCATGGAAAGAGTCTCTAGGCACTATCTCCCCTGAAGTTCCTGCTCTTGAAATGTCTGTCTGACTCCCCACACACCCCCCGGTGTCTTCTGCCATTGACATTGCATTCTAGAATACATTTTTTTGAAACCAAGCCAAGGCTGGTGGTCATTCTGAGCCTGGATTGGGTACTGCCAGGCAGAAGGGACCCATGCAGAATTGGACCCTCACCATGCTATTCCAGGCAAAAGCATGGGCTTTGGGGTCAGCAAGACCCAGCTTGAGACCTGGATCTACCACCCTGCACTGGGTTGTTAGTCCTGTCCTTGATCTCCACTTTTCCTCAATTTCCTCATCTGTGCAATGGGGTAAGTGAAAGTCAGAGGGGTTTTCATGAATCTTAGATGAGCCGATTCACAAATACTTCATG